GAAATGATTCCCAGACTTGGGAAAGAAGGTAATACTTTTGGATCATCAACTAGATATTCTTTGAATTTGTTGCTCATTGAAGAGATCTTCCTGCTGTTAAGTTTAAGCCAATGTGTCTAAAGAAATCATTGAAAGATTGTAGTTCTCCTTTGTTCTGACTCTAAAAGACAGGCTTACTTTGCATGACTTGGGTATCATGTGCATAGTACAAACTCTTTATTGTTTACAAAAGATTATCATCACCAAGAGAAGTTTTATTGTAATTTGCTAAGTTTAATTGAGTAGAATGATTTATTAACATTACAAACACCTGTTTATGTTTGCTGAAATGTTTGCTTTCATATGATCTATTAAGATGTAAATGGACATGAGAAATACAAAAGATTCTAGTGACTTCAATGAGACAAGGAATTAGAGATCACCTTATCAAGATATTTCTAAGTTTTTTGCAGAATGCTTGAGTTCTGCAGTGGTGGTTTAGAACCCCTGGGAGGAATAGTTGAAAGAAAGGCCATAGTTCTTCCTTTCTACCATTTAGTTCTTCTAGGAGCTTTTGTTTAATACCAAAACATATGTGCAATTTAACCTGAGTGTTCTATTTCTACCCAAAAGTTTAGAAAGTTGGCCTCAGGTCCTTTGTTTCAGGATGATCAAGTATTATCAGATAACTGAACTCCTTTGTGTGGGTTTGAGTATATATTTTGTGTTTATAGAATCATGACTCTCCAAAGGCCAGTAGACATGGTGGAAGGTAAATGTACGAAAAGGACATAATACATTGTGAAAATTCCGTTCTCATACTCATACTCAGCCTGTTATTCACTAAATCTCCCCTCATGGTATTGTCACATAAGGTTATCATGGGTAGGTGCTGCTCTTTTCCTGGGTACAGAAGATTCTCCATGAAGAGAAGAGTCTTGTTGCCTTGTTTCCTGTATTTGAAAGTGGAAGAAGCTTTACATGTAGAATAGGAATTTTCATCTGTCAGTAGATGATAAAACCAGTAAAACCTATGTCCCAATCTGACGCTGAAACATTTTCACATTTTACACTGCTCACATCTCTGAAAGTGCTACCTGTGGGCCATGGCTCTTCTGGGTGGAGTTTCCGAGGGAACCTAACTTGAAGCACACATGGGAATAATTAGAGAGTCTCAGAAGAATTTGTGCCACTGCCTAGCCTACTTGCCAGAGAGGCTGCTTTTTAGCTCATCCTACCTCAGGCTTTGCCGAGTCTCAGTTTCTACTTGCTTCCCCATGTAGTGGAAAGGCATTGTGCTTCCAATTTTATGACAACAGGAAGAGGAAGAAGAAGACCACTTCCCTTGCTTCTTTTAAAGACTTTGTAAACTATAAACTCCATTCAAAAGTCCAGGAAGAGGAATCTGTATGTATTTAATACACCAGATAGGAGATAGAAGCTGATCCACCTTAGAGTCAACAGTTTCTACTTGCTTCCCCATGTAGTGGAAAGGCATTTTGCTTCAAAGTTCATGACAACAGGAAGAGGAAGAAGAAGACCACTTCCCTTGCTTCTTTTAAAGACCTTGTAAACTATAAACTCCATTCAAAAGTCCAGGAAGAGGAATCTGTATGTATTTAATACACCAGATAGGAGATAGAAGCTGATCCACCTTAGAGTCAACAGTTTCTACTTGCTTCCCCATGTAGTGGAAAGGCATTTTGCTTCAAAGTTCATGACAACAGGAAGAGGAAGAAGAAGACCACTTCCCTTGCTTCTTTTAAAGACCTTGTAAACTATAAACTCCATTCAAAAGTCCAGGAAGAGGAATCTGTATGTATTTAATACACCAGATAGGAGATAGAAGCTGATCCACCTTAGAGTCAA